GTCTTTAAAACGTCGCCGTCGTAAAGGTGGACAAGAAAAATCAAACAAAAACACGGTTGTCAAGCTCGGCTAACGCGTAGCAAGGCAACAACAGTAGAGCGGTCGCGTCGGTTCAACCGCCGTTGACAACCACTCGACACTGGTCGCATCGCGACTATTTTTTTTTCAGGCGAAAAGTCCCCCAATGGCTGCCTTTTCGGTATCCAAATAGCGGTTCTTCAAAATCCTACCTGCAGGTTACGTGTTTGGTCCAACCTCCTGAGATCGCTGGGGCCGCTGTGGACGTTGCAGCTGCTTCCGCCATTGCTGTTTATGTTTTAAGCTGCCGGATGTTCCGGATAGCGCCGCTTCTCGTTCGGAATTCTTCGGCTGTTTTCGGTTAGTGTCGGGAGTTTGCCGAAAGACGAAAGCCTCGCGCCGCGCGTCGGACATTTTGTGTCATTACACCCGACTTGGTGGCTATTTTGCTAACATAAGGACAGATTCTTAAACTCTTACGGGAAGAGCGAACATGGCCACGTTTAACTGTCTTAAACTGTCAGAAATGAAATAAATCTCCCCAAAATAATACTTTTAGACTTTTTCATAGAATCTGACCAAAAGTGGTATTCCTTATGGGGAACAAAAAACCTGAACAATGGACAAGCAAAAATATATTTTACAAACTACGTACTGAAATTGGCGTGTACAATTTATGAAAAAATAACAACCAACAATGAGAGGAAGCGTCACACGCATAGTGTGAAAATAAAAATCAGTCAAGCTGGAATTTAAACATTTTCAGAATGATACAAACTCAACCAAATACAAAATAAAATTGTAAAACACATAAAAAAAATAAACACCAAATAACCTGAAAGGAAAACTATTTCAGAATGATAAAAGCCCAACTAAATAATAAAAAAACAACATAAAACATACAGTTACACTCAAATGTTTGAACACTGGCAGAAGCAAATGACGCTCCCGTTCATAGCTTGTGAATTCAAATCTTGAATAAATCTCCTCACGAACGCCCTTTCCTGCGCTTTGTCTTACGCTCGTGACTGACTCCCCATGTATAATTATGAGTTTTGTGTCAAGGTCAGTCAAAAAAGTTCCATGCCCGAATGATTTAATAAATTCCCGTACCAACAGGGCATCCGGCATCTTCACTTTGTACTCGAATTCATATTTTATGTTGCATATTTTGTTTTTATGATGCTTTTTTTTTTTTTTAAACAGTGATGTTTTATATTTTTATAGCAATGGTCTGATTTGCATTCCATTATATATATATTGCAACCCCACAAATAAAGGTTTTCTTCTTTTACCTTGCCAAATACTAGCTGCAGAAGTCCATTCCAGGGTTTAGAATCCAGGCCTTTGTTTCTAATCAACTCATCCCTCCACCTAAGAGGAAAAAAAAAAAAAACAGCAAAGAGGAAGAAAACGGTGCGGGGGGGATGGCGGGAGGGGGGGAAGCCGATGCGACCTCTGTCATACAATGATCGCAGAAATTCCCAAAGACAATTCCAAGGCATTCCAATCCGTCGCGACTTTGGGCTCAGACTCCCCCGTTTCCTCCTCGCCCTCCCCGGAAGCTGGCCGGTTGCTGAGCAGGAGGCGGGACGCGCGCACCGCCGGCGGCCGCATCCATCCGGAGGAGAGCGACGGCGGCAGCATCCGGCCGCTGGTGTCCGGCGGCCGCATGATGACATCGGCGGACTTCGCCCACGCCGGCGCCCCTCTGCTGGCTCCCCGTTCCGCGCGCAGCCTCCTCTACAAGATCCTGTGCTTCCTGCTCCTCGTCCTGCAGGGCGGCGTGCTGGACTTTTACCTCATCGCCTTCACCGACCTGTACTGGTGCTCGTGGATCGCCACGGACCTGGTGGTGGTCTCCGGCTGGGCGATTTTCTTCGTGAAGAACGCGCGCGGCAAGCGGGAGCGGGCCTGCGGCTTCCACCAGAAGGGCTCCGCGTACGGCGGCTGCAACCTGGGCGAGTTCACCTACGCCTACCTGGCGTGGCTCGTCCACGTCATCGCGTGCACCCCGAAGGTGGCGCTGGTCCTGGAGACCTCCATCCTGGACCTGGTGGCCGCCAAGGTGCCGTGCGGGCTCACCGGATTTAAGATCGTCACCTTGCTCTCGGCGCCGCTGCTCTTCTGCCTCATCAACGCCGTCATCGAGGACCTGAACGGGGCCACCCGGCATCACTCCCAGAGCTGCTTCACCTCCACCTGCTTGGATCTCATCGACAGCTTCTTCCTGGTGGAGGCGCTGCTCCGGAGCGAGATCCCCACGCCGTACCTCAAGTACACCGTCATCTCCACGTACTTCGTGGCGCTGGCCGCTCCCGTCTTGTGGTTGTACGAGCTCACCGCGTCGGAGCTCCGCTGCCGGTGGCTGG